TCCCTGTTACATACATTCGCACAAAACTAGAATAGCCTTTCACCCTTTGGGTACAGGGAATAAAAACAACACGCAACAATACGCTACAAGGTTACATACATACAGACAGTAAAAGGGGTGAGTGTTTTTGGTTCTTGCTTGTGTTGTGATCTAATAGTCAGTCTGAAGTTTTATTCGATATATATATATATATATATATATATATATATATATATATATATATATATATATATATATATACTTATATATATATATACTTATATATATTGCGAAATTTTTGAACAGACATTCCCTCTAATAGTAGGAATGGAAAATGAACTTTCTATCATGCAAATTCAAACTTCGATCATGCAAACATCTCCGTCGTCTAGCGTACAGCTGCCCAATTTGCCTGTACCAACCTTTTCTGGCAAATTTATAGAGTAGCCAGCATTTTACGCAATTGCACAACTCGTACATAACAATGACGACTACAGTTCATGCATCAAATGAACATATTTTTTGGTTTGCCTTCTCTAACTAAGGAATATTCGGGCGATCTCAAGAGGATGCTTAATGTCACAAATGTATATGCATCAATGTATAAATATAATGTATCAATATCCACATGAAGTCGGGCGATCATTAGATGGCACATCAACTTTGGACTAAACTTCCGTCGAAAAATCTACAAGCATGGGAGCACTTTCTTGGTAGCTCATCTAACGTTCCTACAGGTAGTACGTTGGAGCAGTTTCTCAATAATCGCCTGATCAGGGTTGATATAATTGAGAATCGGTCCATCAGGCAACAACCGTCAAGCGGCTCCAACAACTCACCAAATAACATCCAAAAACTTTCTAGGTAATGCGTTTCAGAAACAAAATAGTTTTCACACAACCACAAACGATATGGCTTCCCAACGGTGTGGGAATTGCAACGACAGTTTGCTGCGTCGTTGTCCTGACTTTATCGCACAGGATTGTTCTACTCGAAAATCGATTGCTGAACGCACCAAGTTATGTTTTAATTGTCTTGATTCCGCACATATAAAATCGAAATTTTGCAGCAAACGAAACTGTCAGCAATGGGACGACATCTCACGCTTTTGCATTTTCTAACCAACAAACCAGACTACATACCGGCTCCACAAAAGCTACAAGCTAGTACTTCAGATCAGGCAGTGGTCACAAGCACAACGCAACTCATATCGGCAGTGACCAAGCCTTCATCTCAGTTAGTTCGCACCGTGCTTGTGGCAACGGCTTTGGTCGAAATACATAATGACGAAACTGGACAGTCATCCATTGCCAGAGAACTTATAGATAATGGATCTGAAGGAACTCACATTACGGAGCATGTTGTACAATCGCTTGGCTTGAAACGTCATCCAATTTCGGCTGAGATCAACGGAGTCGGTTAAAACTCGAAGAACGGAGTCGGTTACAACTCGAAGAATAGTTGTAAATGGATGGGTTATCCATTTCAGAATTAGCTCGTGTACCGACCGACAATTCAGCACTCACATCGACACAGATATTCCAATACAGAAATGGCGTCACATCCAAGGATTACAACTTCCAGATCCACAGTACTTTAAATCAAATATAATTGACATAATCATTGCAGTTGACCTAATACCGCATCTCATACTTTCAGATATGAAAAGAGGCACCCCAAACCAACAATCGCTCAAAACTCGCAGCTCGGGTGGATTCTGTTTGGACAAATCAATTTACGGTCAGTGCCATCAAACAAATTTGGATGTCCTGTTTCAAAAGTATTTTGAACAAGATCGAATGGATACGGTACGACGTCTTACTGCAGAAGAACAATGGTGTGAAAACCATTTTTAACAAACACACATACGTCAACCAAACGGCAAGTACATGGTACGCTTGCTGCTCAAAACATTGTTTGACCCTCAGCAGGTACTTGGCAAATCACGACAAATCGCTTTGATGCTCATAACAACATAGTATGCACATCATGTACCTTGCCTCATCATGCTGTAAGAAGAAGAGTCACAACCAAATTGCGAGGAGTGTATGATGTATCTTGTAAGACAAGTAATTGGAAATCGCTCAACGATATACTTTGTATTGGACCACCTTTACAAAACGATCTAGCAGGAGTTATTCTCCATTGGCGTCAACATCGTTATGTGTTTGCTGCAGATATTCAACGAATGTATTGTTGCATCGACATGCATACAGACGATATAAATTATCATCGCATATTCTGGATCGACAAACATAACCAAATTGCATCTTCTCCGTACACAGCTAAACGAGTAATGCATCAGCTTGCAGATGATGAACGTGATCGCAATCCTCTTGCTGCTCACATTCTCAAACATGATGCCTATGTGGATGACATACAAAGTGGAGTCTATGATCTCTGAAGCCATTGCCATTCGTAATCAACTGATTGCCATCTTATGTTCAGCCGGTATGGAATTTCGTAAATGGTCGTCAAACTCAACAGCGCTTCTGACTGGTATACCCTCAGCAGACCATGCAAATGTACTATACACATTCTTGAGTTTCAAAACCTTAGGTCTTTACTGGCATCCCAACAAAGATTATTATGGCTTCAAAGTAAAGTACACGTTGAATCAAACATGTACTACACGTTCTGTACTTTCCACCATAGCGCGTCTGTATGATCCTTTGGGCTTTATCGTACAGGTTCGTCTGCTAAGGTCATCATGAATAATATTTGGAACACAAAAATTCAACGCGATGACGGTAATTTGACGCCACTAGATTGGGATAAGGACGTACCACAGCACTGGCAAAGCTATATCGTCACGCTATCCAACGTAGAGAATATCAGAGTGCCACGATGGCTGGGAATCGATTCAGCGCAGAATACGTCACTTCAGCTGCACGGATCATCGTTGGCCTACGCTGCTTGTGCATACCTTCGCGTGGAAAACAAGAAAGGATTGGTGATTTCGCAATTGCTGACAGCTCGTAGCCGCGTAAGCCTTGGACAATCCCTAGGATCGAACTATCTGGACCAGTTTTGGCAACGAATCTCGCCAAATGGATTGGTGCACATTTACATAAAAGCGAGCCCATTCCCATTTTCTAATGGTCAGATGCCACAATCGTACTATATTGGATTAACGGTGACCCTGTCCGTTGAAAAACCTTTGTGGCCAATCGCGTCGTGCATATTTTGGAATTCAGCACACCTGCACAATGGCTGTATTTCCCCACATTCGACAATACCGCAGATTGTGCTACTCGTGTTTTACCCCTGATTAACTATCTACCCATTTTCTGTGGTGGAGCAGCCCTTCCTGGTTAACTCAATCCCCAGAACAATGGCCAACCAATTGCACTGTCTCACCAATGATAGACTTGGAAATGGAAGAGAAACCGGCCATACTGCAGACCAACCACGTTGTTAAAGAAGAAGCGTTTATTGCAAGATTTTCGTCATATAATCGATTGTTCTACGTTATGGCATTATATAAAACGTTTCTTAAAGAATTCTAAATCTAAATCCATTAATCGTCTTATAGGTCCGATATCAGTAACTGAACTGCAAGCAGCATTGGTCCACATAGTGCGTATCGGGGATCCCAAGACTCGCCAAACATTACCGAAGTCTACAAAACTGAGCCAACTATCGCCAATTGTGGATGAGGAGCAAGTTTTGGGGTTTTGTGGCAGGTTACGAAATGCTTTACATTTGTCAACAAGACAGCAACAGCCTATAAAATTGCCAGATTCTCACCATACAAAACAGCCATACAAGCATATTGAATGGTGGTATGGTTAATTTAATTACTTTAATTAATTAAATTAATTAATTAATTTAATTAATTAAAGTAATTAAAGTAATTAATTTAATTAATTTTATTAATTTAATTGATTTAATTAATTTAATTAGATCACGCTTTATTATTGCTACATGCAGGTCAACGGTTAAGAAGAATCCACGTAATCTGAAATCCAAATATATTAAAAGGGCCTTCATAACAAGTTGGTTCATGTAGCTTTAAAAGTGTGGACAGTATTGACACAATTCGAACGCTGCAGTTTGTGGGCGTAGTACTGCAGTAAAGTTGCTTCGCTAAAGAGTAGTAAGCAACAAGTAAAAAAGCTAAAGTCGGGTGTCCCGACTTTGAAATACTCTGTACATATGTTTAGAATAAATATAGAAATTAAAAAAAGTACGAGAATTAAAAAAAAAATTTTTGATCGATTTTACCTCTTTTGGTATTCGAACTCACGTAAAGGGTGTATAATTGCACATATACGAAGCAATTGCGTCTATGTGAGTGTATGTATGTATATGCTCGTACATTCGTCTGAGTAAACAAGTTAGCAGTCAACCAAACAGCAACATCAACAACAACAGCGGGCAGCGCTTGATCAGCGCTGCAGCAGCAAATATATTTATGGCTATAACTTCTTGTTAAATCAGTCTATCAAATTGAAATTGGCATACGGATACATAATTACTAACTGGGGGTATTTGCAAAATTACCTCTTATAGTCTCTGAGATCCAGGTGTTCATACGGACAGGCAGACGGACATGGCTATATCGACTCGCCTTGTCAACCTGATCAATAATATATATACTTTGTGGGGTCTGCCTCGCCTCCTTCTGTGTGTTACATACATTCGCAAAAAACTAATATAGCCTTTTACCCTTTGGGTACAGGCTATACAAATAAATTATTAAACACATTGCATTAAAAATGTCGTACGTTGGACCAGTCAGTTGCCATGTTCTTAATGGCGAATTCCAATCGAGTAACTTTATGACGATATAATAACCTTTCTGAATCTTTTGAAGTTAAATTATTTTCAAACTGTATTCGCATTTTTTTTGGTATCTCAACTCCTTTCAAAAACACGCAACATTTTCTATTATATTACTTATTCGAGTATATATATTAAATAAGATTAGATATGTATAGTATGTCGATATATTTATAGAGCGGACATATTTGATTTAAATACGTAATATCAGTTGTTTTTTTTTTTGTGCATCTTACCTCCGAAAACCTTCTTAAAACTTCAGTAGCTGGGTTTATGTGACTGGCTTCTTTCTCCTCTTCTGTAACATTTTTGGAGGTAATCTCAAAACATAATTTTTTTGTAGCATTTATGTCGGTTAAGTCAGTTGATTTCCTTTTTATAGCGTAAAGACAGTTACCTAAAATAAATTAAATACGTATTATACCATATTATATTAAAACGCTATACTGTATATTATTATCATATATGAAATTGTTGTTAAGCTACAAATGTTTTTTGGTAACTGTTAGAAAAAGCATGTTGGCTTTTAGCAATAACGTTATGATGTTTATTTAATTACAAACTAATAATGAGTGTGGCTAAGACCGACTGTTTTTGCTTCGCCGACAACAACAACAAAAGCGAGATCGAATTTATCGTGTGTTCAGTTGGAAAGGCAACAACACTGCAGCTGCAGTTGATAGGCTTGTCAATGAGGATCAGCAGACACATATTGTTGACGACCCTCCTAAAAACATGAAATACGCTATATTTTCCATGAATGAGTTTTACTATTCTAGCAAGTGGTTATCGCATGGCATCCTTAACGAACACAACGTCGCTGACCCACATGCACCACTTGGACTTTGCTAGAGAAGAGTAAGGTACTCCTCACGCAAGCGGTCGTAGAACACATACCTGTTGCAAACGTGATACGCACTGCCAACCATCTAAACGGTTATAATTCAGCTTTTTAAAATTGAGCGGTTTGAGCACACACAGAACAAGACATGGAAAGGCGTCAAAATATCTACAAAAAGGGTGCTATGCAAAAATGATCGAATTGGTCAAAATGGTGGTCGCCATCTTTACCGCTCCAACAATCCACCAAATTGCAGAGAACGAAGGGTAACGAGCCACCAATCGATATTATCTACCAGGCAATACTGATAAACTGCTTCCATGTAAGGATCCCACTAGATGGAGCGCTTTACTTGTAAAGTAAATAAAACCGCAATCATAGTAGCAATCATAGTAATAGAATCCCGGGGCATACCATACATCCAATTCCTAGAAGAAAGGTTTATAATACATATTTACATAATACATAACAACTGTAAATGCCCGATCGGCTTCAAAACATTCAAGCAAAGGGAAACGAACGATGGAATTGCATTTTCGACCATGCCTTATGACTGAAAATCCCTTGAGTCATTATATAGAAAAGCCAATTGAGCGATCCAAAGCAAAATCCGGGTACCATGATGAACATTCACTAAGGCCATGAAGCCTTACGCTATTTATACATTTGTAGATGTCTATTCCTTTGAGCACTTCTGGGTTGTTAGAGCATCACTTTGAAACTTAAAGATGCCATGGGACAGAATGATGGCCAGCTCTAGCCCCAGTCACTGAGGTGCATACAAAAAGAAAAGGCTAATAGAAAATTAATGCCGCTCCTTGAAGTAGAACTGGCAAAACATCGATCTGAACATCGATATATCGATGTTTGGGCAATATCGAAAAAATCAATGTTTTAGCTGCCAATATCGATAATCGGGTACTTTTTTTAAATTCGAAAGCAAAGAAGCAGGATGAAATATTCTAATCCCAGATTTTATATTAATTAATTGGATTTGAATAGTTTTGGAAGTAGTGGTGTTGACAGCGAACGTGGATGTAACGTGGACGCAAACAATATATAGATATCTGTAAAGTACACTTGATATATATATGTATGTATTTCAGAAATAAACACGTGCTGCCTTATTAAGGTAATGGTTGTCTGCTATGCATTGAAGCTTCTATAAATGTTTCCCTTTTATAGTTGCATCGAGGAACAACTGTGTTAGAAGGAATGAAAAAACATTGATAGGAAAGAAAATGAGCCATCTTTTTTTTTCGCGAGCAGTGATGATTCATTTAATTAACACAACATTATGTGCCACTGAACGCACTTTTAGCAAAGCTGGCTAAATTTAAACACAAGTAGTAAAAAAGCATCATCGTAAATAATTTGATATTTTTGAACAGAAATATTGATCTAACAAATAAAAGCAAAATGACATAATATCGATAGTATCGATGTTTTGGTTTTAAAATATCGAAAACATCGATGTTGGTGAACACAGCTTTACATTGAAGGCCAGAGAGGAACGACGGAACTCAATATCTCAAGTCAAAACGGCGCGTTTTAGCCAACGAGTGAAAGTATATGACCCGCTATGTTCGCTTAACTCAGTCTGTACGAACGTCGCTGTTATTATATTGCCCTTGCTGTATGCTGTGTGCCTTTGTGTGTGTGGATTCGATAAAATTTTGTTGCCAGTTTCTGTTGTTGGTGTTATCGTTATTTTTTCTACCACCTGCAGTGCATATATAGTGGGGTTATTGTTTAGTTGCTGGCGTTGACGTCGTTTGGCAAATAGGTTTGTGTGGTTTGTTTTTATACATAGTACCCGTAGGGTAAACCTAATAAACCCTTTAGGTTTGTGCAACATGCAGAAGGAAGCATCTCCGACCCTATAAAGTATATATATTCTGAATGAGCATGACGAGAGAAATGGATCTAGACATGTCCGTCCGTCTGTCTATCTGAATGAACGCCTGGATTTCGGAAACGGATGAGCGTACATTAACCATGCTTGGTATGCAGACGCTCCCAGTCTCTAGTCTATACGAGTTTATTTTATTTTTTTTATTTGCTTCCCTGTCCATATTTCAAAAGCTACATAAATCAAACACGGAAGTCCCACAGGGAAATAACCTACCGCAGACAAATTTCCAACAGTGAGTCATAAGCGCCTCTAGCAAACAGAAAACGAGTGAACTTGATAGTGCAGCTTGCGGGAGTATACTGGAGTGAAATTGTTTCGCTAATAACTTATCTTGGGGTCGTCAGCCAAAGGGTATGCCAAGGGGATTACGTGCAACCACCAAGCCAGGTGGTACGCGGCGAAATTGTGATACACCACTGGTAGTGCGACTATACTCTCCTCTTGAGAGAGCCGAGCGACAGCTGAAAACTCTTTAAAATTTTCCCCAATCCAAGGCGGAACAGATTAGACCGATGGCTGCGTGGCTGAATGGGTGCTCAGTCTCTACTATGCGAACTTTGGATACCTGCCGACCTCCAGTTTCAGATAGGCTTCCCGTCGTATACGGGCTATGCCACGAGTGACCCACCCCTTCTCGTCTACTCGTTGGAACTAAACTATGAATAAACTTAGTAACAACTAACAAAAATACTAAGACAAAAATGGCTGAGACTGGAGCTCGCCAAATTCTGGATGGTACCGCAAATCCCTCTTTAACAACAGTTATGAACCTAACTCTCGACCAGGATGGGAGCTACTCGTAGCGACCATCAAATTTGCCAGCAGTGCAGGCGGGGGCATATCGATAAGCCAATCGGTTTCCTCGGATTCTGGTGGTAAGCAAACTTCCTCTACTTTGGCTACAACGGTGGAGCAGCTAAGGCAAGCTGCTAAACCAGTATCAGCAGCAGAGGTAACCCGGTAAACCGCCATTCTGGTACTTCGGCAATGAAGCCACCACAACTAAAACAGTCGTACTGCAGAAGATCTCACTACTCCGGAGACGTCCCCCGACGACCATAAAATGGTGGAATAGACCCAGACACAGATCTGCCCCGAAAAGGCAGAGATCTGCATAAGGTTTGACGCCAACACCAGCCAAAAGGACTCGACCACAGCCGCTTACCCGCTCCTTCGCCGAGGTGGCCAGGGATAAGATCCTAGTTGGTGTTCTAGACATGGGCAACAAAGAGGGTCTAATCCCCCGCCACTTGTGGCCATGGATGGAGAACTAGCTCTGTAGCTAGCGGCCCTGTGGCTGCTTCCTGGAGCACCTGGAAAACACCACCACCACTTCCACCAAGATTCGAAGACTTCGGATGGTACCAAGAAAGAGTCAAGGCTGAGACATATATGAAGGCAATCGCATCCCTGGCAGAGATCTACCCAGGTGTCAAGTTCGTAGCCGTGGATTGGTGCGAATACCAGACCCAGGGCGAGGATCTGGGTATTATCAAAGCCGGAGGATCCAGACCCGATCCTCCGAATTTTCCAACTCTGTAATCCGCAACTAAAGACGGACAACTGGTGTGTGGCCAAGGTAGAGCAGACAGTGGGGCCCACACGACAAGTCGTCCTTCACATTTAGAGCCATAGAAACTGAAAAAGAACGGGAGCCGTGGCTTCAGCAAAAGCACAACGGGGCATCTACATCTAGAGCAGCAGAGACAGCCCACCAACATACAGTTTTAGTAACGGAAAGAGTCCTAAAGCTTACATTTTTAGTGAAGTAGCAACGCAAGCCAGATACGCTAGTTTATATATAAATATCTACTTGTGTTTTAAATTTCATCCAAATCGGAATATTCTAAGAAACAATTTCACTCTAGTACTACGCCTGCAAACTGCAGGATCAAGTTCGCTCTTCTATTTCTTTTTGCTTCTGCTAGAGGCGCATATAATTCAGTGACGGAAGTTTGTCTAGGTATAGGGTATTCCACTGTCGAGCTTGCTCGACTGTAGCGTTCTCTCTTGTTATTTATTTATTTTCCGTTATTTTGAATCGTGCTAAATGGAATAAAGTCGTGGAACAATAAATAACATTATTAATCTTCAAACCGTGCTCAATGAAAACCGTGTAAAAAAATATCCTGCAAAAATATAGAATTCTTGTGAATTTTGTTTAGGTATGTTGAAAATGTGGACAGTATTGGCGAACTTCGGTTGCGGGGAAAGTGGGTAAATCAAAAAATAAAATAAATCCGTATAGACTAAGGATTAGGAGCGTCTGCATACTAAATTCATTATTATACCCTGTTTTCAAAAAGTAGAAGGGTATACTAGTTTTGTGTGTTTGTTGGTTCACGGAGAAGGAAGCGTGGCAGACCCCACAAATTATATATATTATTGATCAGGATGACAAAACGAGTCGATATAGCCATGTCCGCCTGTCCGTCCGTCTGTCCATCAGTCTGTCTGTATGAACGCAAATATTTCAGTAAGTATAAGAACTAGGACAGCCATAAGGATACCATAGGATAGCTTGGTATTAAAGTTCCTATAAGCCCAAGACAGATCAAGTTTGTTTATTTTTTCTGATACTCTGTACATGAAATGTGCAAGAGTATATTAGGTTTGCGGGAGGTGAAAAATGTAACAGGCA